TTCCCTACATTTTTTTATTTTTAAAGAAATCAATGAATGTACTGTGAACCCCGATATCTGTGGAGCAGGACACTGCATTAACCTACCGGTGAGGTATACCTGTATATGCTATGATGGCTACAAGTTCAGTGAGCAACAGAGGAAATGTGTTGGTAAGAAGAGACACTTTTGGTAGATGAGATTATTAAATATCAAATATTTGCACATAAAGAACATTTTTTTTATCATGGGGAAAATGTTATTGTGTTTAATTTTTTAAAAATTTTATCCCTGAGCTAAGGGTACTCAAAAAGAGGTTCAGTAAACTCCTAGGAGGCTCTTACCACTTGGTTCAATGCTACCTACCTTGCCAAGTGTGATACAATTACATAAAGGTGGAATAATTTCCCAAAGCTTTTCAGGTAAAGAATATAAAATTAAGACTTCTAGAAATAGCTATCTACAAACATATTTAGCAAAACAAATTAATATATTCTGCAGTAAAGAATTATGTTCATCTAAGTTCATAAAATTTGATTTTTAAAAGGGATTTCTATATTGAAAATCAATATATCCTGACACAAAACTATTAATGAATTTATAAAGTAGGGATCTCATATATGCTTCTTTGGGGAAAAAAATTAATCTCAAAAAGGGGTGTAATAGTGTTAAGTCATTTTAATGTGTTAACACTAAATTTAATATCTTTTTTTTAGAAAAAGAAAATTCAGCACTAAGAGTTACAAGGCAAATACAGAGCAACAAAGGCATATACCTAATTAAACCCACTTTAATATGCTAGATGCCATTATGCAGATGTGACTTTTGCCGTTTTGTTTTGCATATATATGTGGGGTGAGGTGTGAGGGGAACATCCACCTGCTCCATAACATGGCTATTTCTCTTGAATTTGTATACATTAGATGTATTATGTTTAGAACCCCAGCACATAAAGTTGGAAAGGGCAGTCGGTCGAGATGATTCAGTCTCGCTTTACCCAAGTGCACAGTGAAAGAGTGCCTGTCGCAACATTTCTGACTGTCTCTGCTGAGCTGGCCTGGGAGTTGCACAGTGAATTCCAGTGCTTACATGACTCCAGTTATCAGGCAGGTCGTTTTGTGGTGACCTGAAATCTTTCTCTTTGAAACACCTACGTCATGGTTGTAGCTTGAGCTTTCAAAGCAGTACACCGTATGTGTATTCCCTTTTCCCAGTAACAGCCCTTCAGGTATTCAGGAAGACTGATCGTGTCTCCTTTTACTGTTTTCCTCACTTATAAAGTTTTGTGGGGCACAGGGGATGGTGTGCTGGTATTTCATGAACAGAGAGACTGAGAATTTCATGCTAGACTACACTAATCCTTTTATCTGTCTTTTTGTTAACAGATATTGATGAATGCGCTCAGGCCCAACACCTCTGCTCCCAGGGACGCTGTGAAAACACTGAGGGAAGTTTCTTGTGTATTTGCCCAGCAGGGTTCATGGCCAGTGAGGAGGGTACTAACTGCATAGGTAATGACAGTGTTCTTTCTGATGCGTAAATTCCCACATGCGGGTTTCTAGCTCCCCTAAGATTCCGTCAGTCCAAGGCTTATTCAAACAACCCCAAATTTATTATTAAACCCCCGTTACAGCATAGTTATCTGCTAGATACTGGAAGATTAAAAAATGGAATTTTTTCCCCAACAGTTTTGAATGAATAGTATCAAATGTCTGCAAAAAACAGAGGCGTTAAATGTTTCTTTTGGATTCGAGTAAATCAAAACCACTCAATTTTTTGGAACAAATCAAAGAGATGATGGATAGTAGGAATCAGTTGCTTCATTCTTAACATCGAGCTAACCTGGGAGATGGGAGAGGTTTGGAATTATGTTTTGGGAAATAAAACTCGACAACTTTTTCTGCTTTGCGTAGATGTTGATGAGTGCCTGAGGCCAGACGTCTGTGGGGAAGGGCACTGCGTCAATACCGTGGGGGCCTTTCGGTGTGAATACTGCGACAGCGGGTACCGCATGACCCCCGCAGGCCATTGCGAGGGTGAGTCTGCTGAGAGGATGGGGAGCCTGCGCCCCTTTGAAGTGCTGAGTGCACGTGACCATGAAATATAGGGCTGGGTCCAGAACCCAGGGCTGGCGGGCACCTGGCCTGGTACGAATTTTCCTTCACCACCGATCTGTGCAGGATACCAGCTCATCCAAGCTCTTGCTGCCTTCTGGGATCACAGCCCCTTTGCCTTACTTCAGTGGCTCTGTCTGCATCATTTTCTACCTTCATATGCTCTTTATTACTCATTTCAGTATCTGCCTTCTCTGGTATGTAGAGTGAAATCACTTTAGAACAATTAACTGCAGAGGATTTTAGTACAAACCCAGACTTACTTATAGTGTCTGCATCATTATATAGTGTCTGCATCATTCATCTGGGGGCATGATGCAGGTGTCACCAGTGTGGACTTTTTGTTCTCGACCTTTTCGCCTTGTTCCATTCCTTTGTCTCAGCTTCTTTCTTTTGCGTGTGTTCTGGGACTTGCCTGCAGACTGTCTACAGAAGTGCTGTCTGACCAGCTCCAAGTCAGATTCCAGCTGTGCTAGATAAAATTTCTTTCGTATTGACCCCAGCAGTGGATTTGCTCTCGTTGTAAAAATGTTTTGAAAAGTTTTTAACTTTTCAAAATTAAAATGATTAACCATTGAATATTTCTGCTCGTGCCTGTGTCCAAGTCACACAGGTACTTTTCGAAACCACCATGGTACGCTTTGAATAATTATTTTCGTGAAGAAATATGTTGCACCTCTGCTTAAATCTTGCCAAAGAAATGTGAGGGCAAAGGAGCAGGGGTCTCTGGGCACGTTTTGGAGGAGCCTGTCTGTAGGGATGGTGCTGGTTCTGTGGGGTTCCCTGCCCGGCTGCCTGACATTGAGCCTCTTTTCAGACGTGGCTGGGCCTCCAGCACTCAGGAGGGATGGGCCGGTTGGGGCAGGCTGCTCTCAGCTGTCTCTTGGCTCCTACATGTTGGTTTTTTTCATGGTTCCAATGACCAGGTCTCGAGGGAGAGCTCATTAGACAGTTTTTTGGCAGCCTGCACCTGCCTTTCTTGCTGGCCCCTTACCTCGGCCCCTGAGTTATCTGGGGAGCGTTTTATGTTGCTGCATCTCTGATCAGCTCCCATTGGAACAGAGATACGAACTCTTCTCCTGACGGCTGAGGGCCATGGGACAGCACAGGTGTGAAGTGTCCCTACTCTCTTACGGGGGACTCTCCCTCTGCTCTGGAGGTAGCTTGAGGATGGGGAGAGCAGAGACTATGGCATGACCCCCGCACTCAGTAACTGTCTAACTTGGAGCCCGGTACGTAGCCCCTTCAAAACTTAGCTCTTCATCTGTAAAATGGGAACCATGCAGTGAACTTTCAGGGTGTTGCAGAATGTTGTATGGTGCCTGTCACCTCGTTAGTTCTCAAGAAGTGTTAGTTTCCTTAAACTCCCCCTTTCCCTGACTCGTTTTGTTTTTGCATAGATCTTCTCAGAACGTCTGTAATTGTGGGAATTTTTTTTTTAAAAAAAAAAAAAAAAAAAAAAAGGCGTGGGTATGTCTGACAAGCATTTATTTGCAAAGCAGTGCTCCTCCAGAAGGTCAAATCTGGATCCTCAAGTTCTACACACAGACTCAGGACAGGAAGATAAGCTATTTAAGGAATTACTAGAGCATAAGGATGGACAGTAGAAAGGAATAGAAAAGAAATTTGAAGATAAAGGAAATAAATGGAAAGCAGTTAGGAGACTATTCAGTGTATAGAAATTACTTAACAGAAATATCACCAGCATTCCCTGAGTAAATAATTGTATAATTCTATCCCCATGAAAAGGCTTGAAATGAAGGAGTCAAATAACATAGCTGTTTTCTAATACATCATGGACTAGAACCAAAGGTCCCTGGGCTTCTGGCTCACTGAAGATTTTCTCACCTGTCACTGACAAAGTTGCTTTCAAACTGCGCCAGTCTCCAAGGAGTCTATTGTAGTTTACAGACGTTATCTCATGCATCCTTACTTTATTCTGTGAAGGTATTACCAGGCCGGTAGTCCCTTATTTACAGATGAGGGAACAAGCAAACAGAGGTGAGAGCAACAGGAAATGCAGGGATATTGTCTTGTGTTTCTCAGCGTTGTACCTTATTTATCAAACCAGCCTATCTCAATGACCCTCTCTGACTTAGCAGTTGTAGTTCCATTTTATAAAATATCCCATACAGAGAAGGATGTAATGCTGTTTGGAAAATGAAACTGGCAAGCATCATCTTTTTGTAGAACAAGAAGTCCCAGAACATCTGACCTAAAAAAAAAAAAAATACTGTGTGTCATTGTCTGTTGGCAAGAATTTTTCTCTGATAGGAAAAAAAAAAAATTACAACACTGACCTGGTGCTTATTCTATTAATAACATCTTTTACCTTAAGCGTCTTTTCACACATGTCTAGTGATACATAATGAGAGATGATTTTTGAGAATTTACCAGAATGATGACCTCAAATGCCCATGTATGTTCGGTGTATTCATTATATATTTCTTTCACTTTTTAGCTTATGTCCTGAAAAATCTGTTTACATTTTAGGTATGATTAGAGGTCCTATATACATCTCATAATGAGACACTTAGACATTGAATCCACTCACTTGAATTCAAAACTCAACTCCAGAAAAACACCTATTTTTGTTGGGGTTGGTACCCAAGGTGTTACTACTCATTTTAAACTGTTGAACCATCTCTTATATGTTACTTTTCCTCCATTTTATTGTTTTACTATTCTTAAAAAAGCCTGAAGCTCTTGTATCTCTGCCACAGTTCCATCTGTATTTAAGGTGGTTTTTTTTCTCCTCACATTGAAAAGAACAAGGATTAATAACTTTCGTTAGCTGTGAATGTGAAAAGTAAGGTGTATTTTAAACCAGAATGTATTACCCTTTGATCATTCACTGTATTTTCTGGAAAATCTTGGAAGTATTTGATGAGTTCATTCTCTCCTAATATTCTTTTTCCACCTCCAAGGAATTCCTACCATATGCAATGTTTTAAATTATTCAAACCTAGGATGTTTTGGGGGCCATGAAGCCAAAGCAAGGATTTCCCTAGGGCATCCAGTGACTGCAGCGAGAACCTCTAGCCAGGTGGATAAATGGCTTCCTCACTCTCATGTCCATTTCTTGTATTTCTTTCTGGCAAGCCATGCTATTACTTGAAAGGTTTGATGTCCAGAAAGTGGCCCCAGAGAACTGCCAATTCCCAGAGTGGAGAGGTCTGGGCCTGCCAGCTGGAGAATTGGGGCCATAAAGGTTTGCATGCATGGTATGCATGGTATACTCGGCCATGCATTCTCACTGTGTGTTTAAGTACAGACCCAGTGTGTCACTTTTTCAGTTATTGTTTTCCTCACCAAAATGTAGATAAAACATGCCTCTTTTCCCCTGCATCATACGAGTCAGTTTGTGTTTTAGTATTCTGATAAAATGTCTGTGACCTAGCTTTTTGATTTTTTCAGATGTTGATGAATGTTTGACTCCAAGTACTTGTCCAGATGAGCAGTGTGTGAATTCTCCTGGATCTTACCAGTGTGTTCCCTGCACGGAAGGGTTCCGAGGCTGGAGTGGGCAGTGTCTTGGTAGGTACTAGAGTGTTATCATAGTTGTGTTTCGTCTGTCTGGCCCGTTTTCTGACAGAGTGGTATAATGCCAAGTGAGGCATCTTTCAAAGTGGAAAAAGAAAAAAAGGGATGTAACAAACTCATGTCATTCAGAGAAAAGTTCTAAGTAACTTTTAACCGTGAAGAAAGTAAGAAATTCAGTTGACATGAAGGAAGTGAGATTTTACATGGGACAGATAATTCTGATTGAAACAAATTGTTAGCCCTGGTGTGATTAATACCCAAAACCAAATAAACTAATCAGTGCCACAGAGAGAGAAGTGGAGAGCAAAATGCTTAAAAAGAGAGAAAAGGCATGAGAAGCTACCACAGACTCATAGAATCAGGAAATATACACAGACTTGCAGCAGAAGTTGCAAATGTAGAAAGAGAAATCTGGATTGATTGCCCATGCCCCTTATATTCATTCATTCATTCATTCATTCATTCAAGTATTTAACAAATATGGAGTACCTACTTTAGGCACTGAGGAAGATAAGTGATGAATCTGCTTTGGTCCCAATTACCTGTGCTCTAGTTAGCTTTTTCCTGTTAATGGTTTTCCTTTGTGTTTCTGATCTTTTTCTGCCCCATTGCCACATTCTGACAATGTGAGTTAAACTTTTCCATCCTTCCTTCCTTCTTTCCTGTCTTCCACAAATGCAGTAGAACTCACTATCTATACCCAGAGTTGTACTCAGTGCTGGGATACACTGAGGGACCAAAAAAGTACCTTCTTCATGGAACTTACTATCTAGTTGAGGAGACAGATACTCAGCTAGACATGTCATAAGTAAATGCAAATGTACAAATGAGCCAAGTGTTAGGAAGGAGGGTTCTTTGATGTTACAAGAGCATATGACAAAATGAGTTGCCTCAAGGAAAATTCTTGAGTTAAGCTTTGGCCGGGGGTTTGACTGGGGTAGGGGATGAGAGGGAGATCATTTTGGACATTTGACATGTGCCGGGGGCTCGTGGAAGGAGGAAGCAGGTCATGTTCCAGAAGCTGAAAGGCTAGTGTGCTGAAGGTCAGAGTACAAGGGAAGATTTGCTGCAGGATGAGGGGGCAGACCATGCCAGACCCTCTTGGTCCTACAAAAAAAAAGTTGGTCTTTATTCTTACATCTCTGGGAAGACGCGTGGGTGTTCTAGAGGAGGTGGGATAGGTGGGCTTGGTGGAAGCACTCCCAATTTCAAAGCTTTGCACTCATCACCTGGCAGCATGAGCTAAGCCTCTACCAGTTGCAGGTGTCGCCCTGCCCTGAATCTCATGCCCATCCCCAAGGGTCTCTATCAGTGGAATTGCGAGATGTTGATCTTTGGGCAGAAGAAAATTTTTTGTTTTCATAAGCATTTGTTTATATAATCAGTGTTGGTCAGAATGTGCATTTGGTTTTAATTTTTCCATTTGGCATAAATTTCATAGCTGCCTATCAAGGTTCCATTCTTGTACTCGTTTTCACATATCAATGCATATTGTAATCCAAGAGCAGAGCCCAAACTTTACCTTAACTAACTAAAATTCACAATCGTGGTATAAACACAGCCCTGATTCATGAATTTACTAATGCAACATGACTGACCAAATGGGAAAGTGATGCTCTTCAATGTAAATGCATGGGTCTAGGTTGGGGAATAATAATACATGAGTTATTACACCTAGATGTGCGTAATCAATCTGATTGTGACCACGCTGCTCCAGTTGAGTGACAGAAACAGAGCACCTCATTTAACAACAGTATCATGTTGCCAGGGAGATTAGTAGAATCATAAGCAGAACTGTTAGGTCACCATGTTACTCACCCCAAGTCACACACTTGGCCACTTGGCCAAGCAATAACTTTCGGTTTTGCATTGCTAACTAAGGTCACACGTTTCCTATTAAAAGTAGGCTGGGTACTCTTCTCCTTCTGCCTTGGGTAGAGTTTTAGGTTTATGTCATCTGTCAATCAAGCTTCGCCTCTGTGATGTAATTACAGTGCCATCCATTGCTCATCTTGAACTTGCAGTTCTTGTAAGTTTCTCCTGTGGGCTATTGCAGATTGCACCAAAATGGATTTTTCCATCTTAGTTTTTTATGGCGGTTGAGCTGTAAATGTTAAAGTTGAGTGTGATGAAAAGCCGATATTGCAACATACCTTTCTGCTCAGATTGAGCCAATGAATGGACTGGATTTTTCTGCAGTACTCTGACAGTGCTTGTGAATACCCAGTCATATCTTTTTGGTTTTGTTCCTTTATACATTTTAGGTCTTATCTTTCTACTTCTGGTACTCTAAAATACTTTTCAGAAGGTGCAATCCTACCTAAGCTCATCTTTGAGTTGAGCTCACTGATAACACAACCTGACATATATTCATTTCTTCATTTGCCACTTTCATCATTCAACACTGTATTCATACTTTGAGCCAGGCATTTTGTTTTAGACCCTGGGAGTTGAGAGTGAACAAAATAAATTTCCTCCCTTCGTTGCACTTAGCCTCTAGAGTTCACAAGTAAGAAAGTAGAGTATATGGTATGTCAGGTGTGATGAGTGCCATGAAGAAAAAAAAAAAAAAAAAAAAAAAGCCAATCCAAAAATGGGCAGAAGACCTAAACAGACATTTCTCCAAAGACATACAAAAAAAAAAAAAAAAAAAAAAAAACTGCCTAAGGGATATAGAGAGTGTTGGAGATTCTATGGAGGTCAGAGAAGGCGTCAAATGATAAATGGTTTACAAAATGTTCCTTGCTAATCGACTGTTTCTGTGTCTAACAGTTAAATGTGACTAGTTTTGAGGCTTCCTCTGTCCTTCTAGTGCAGACAATTCAGGGTACATTGATGAGACATTTTCCCCCAAGTTTTAATGTATGAGGGCATTAAAGACTAAAAAAATTTCCTGAATCTCATTGTTGGGAGAAAAGTCCTACACAGAACATTTGTTAGTTGTCATCTGTAGAGATGATAATCCCTACCTCGCTGGGCTGTTCTGTAAGTCTTAGTATCCTTCTTTTTCTACGACTCTCCTCTCACAGCATATTTTTAAGTTATTATAATTAAACTTGTACAGTGTTGCACAGAATAGTACTTTCTTTGGCATTACGCTTATGGTTTTTTTTTAAAAAACTCATTGATCTTGATGTCCAGTTGACTCTTTTTTCTATTAAATGGTTTCATTAAGAATTGCCATTTTGACCCTTATATTCTGCAGGGATTTGATGCCAGTTACACTTTCTGCTGCTTTCGCTGACTAAATGGTGAACTTGCTGAAACCGTTAATGGCCTCTTTGTATTCATGCCGTGTAAACTGGATCTTACTGATTGATGCTTCTCCTTGATTTATGAATTAGAACAGAAATTGTTTGGGGCAGAAACAGGTAAAATGTCAGCAGGTGCTGTCTGGGGTTTTATACTTTTTCCTAGGATTTCGTTCAGGGCATATGATCCTTCATTCTCAATAGTTTATTGTGCACTTTGAAAATTTCTATCCCTTAATGCTTTTCTGGCAACTCGTGTTGGCTCTTCTGTTAATGTACCTTCTTCTTTCCAATAGTGGATTTCTGTGCTCTCTTGAGAGCCACTTTCATCGTTTTAACACTGTATTCCTTGGACCTCACATTCAGCCTGGAGCTGTTGCCCACACGATCCCCACCTTTTAGGACTATTTCATCACCCTGGGTTCTGGCCAGTTCCATCTGGCTGCTTTCAATCAGAGCCTTTCTTGAAGGAAGCTGACGTGTCAAGTCCTCAATTTACAGGTTTCCCTTGACTCTTGAAGTACTAGCCTGATTCAGACCTGACTAGAGCCACATCCCCCAAAGGAAATTCTCTAATATATAATTGTTTAAAGGTGCATTCAGTAACTGTGATATAAAGATCATATTTCCCTGAATTTAGGCAGATTATGGGCTATGTGACCTCTCTGAAGCTTGGTTTCAATATCTGTAACGTGTATTGAAATAACTTCCGTCATGGGGTTTATTGCTAGAATTAAATGTGATAGAAAGCACTGAGTAAGGTGTCTGACACAAGGTAGGACCCGAGAAATGTTATAATCCTTCTTCCCCCGACCCTATTACCTCCGTTTTATTTCCCTTGTCCTGAAATAGAAGAAATGCAATAATAACTGATACCTGTTAAAGTAAATTACATGTCACATTTTTATGGATAACTGTCTTCTCTTTGGCTTTCTTTAAGCTCATTTCATATAGTTTTTAACTGTCACAGGAGCTTTCTCTTTTGAATTTAAGTTATCTCAATCTTACAGTTTCCTTTCAACTTCTGAGCATTTTTCTTTTGCTGGAATATACTTCTTGAGAATCATAATGCTTCTCTGCAGGGTCACCCCTAACAAATGTTTTCACTTCTACAGTACTGCCATCCTCTTTCTTTTGCTTCGCTTTCTTTGCTCACCTTCACAATATCTACACAACAGACACGATATATAATATCTGCCATCTGGTAGATGTGCGCAGCTAGGCTTTTTTGAGTTTATTGCCTTGCCTTATAGTTGAGTCTGGCAAACCATGTGATACGGGGACACAAATTTCTGAGATTTTTATCAAAGTGATCCTTCTTTGTTGGCCGTAATTAAGTTAATGATGACTTTGTGACTCCCATTTGAGTGTTCTAAATGCAGTAGGTCTTCGGTATTTGAAGAGCTTAGTATTGTTCAATCCGCTTGACGACTGGTTAGCCACAGTCTTAACCAAAACCAGGTGCAGAAAACTTACAGGATAAACGTGGAGAGCTTGTTCTAGGAGTTCTTTTCACCTTAGGATTTCTTTTCAGATTTTAAGACCATTGTTAACCTTTATGGAATATATGAAAATTCATAAACTTAAATAAAATTGAAGACTTTAGTCCTACAATTATTCTTTTTATGTAAGATGGCAGCTGAGCTCACGGTCTACCTTTTGTGGATGTTATAAAATGTGCAAACATCAGCCTTGTCCCTAAATCATTATATGCTAAAGGAATCTTCTAATCAGTCAGTAAGT